GGAAATGATCGCAGGCTGCTATGATAAGGACTGAGCCTTAATGGTATGCGCTCCACCAGGTGAACTACCAGTTTTAATTCTCGAGGTTACCTACTTTGATCGAATTAAAAGTGAGCTGATCCCAACTCCTGGAGAGAGCGATCAAGCAGGATGAGTGCCAGCGAAGCCTGTTAAACCTGCCCATGTGGCCGCTCTGTGTTGGCTACACAGATCAGATGAGATGAGAGGATTTCTGACCTGAGCTGAGGACACAGATAACAAGCTGAAGGCTGTGTGAGACCCGAGGAAAGCTGGATCTGAGTGTTAAGAAGGTTTACATTTGAGGCATCATGCTCTTATCCTCTAGTATCTATTGCATAACTCTGGTAAGAATATCCTGTGTGTTATTCTTGCTGCATGCATCAACCAGGACCCTACTCTGATCTCACTGTTTGAGGTCACTGTTTAACCTCAGCATGTAATCACACTGATGTGTTATAAGCAGCTTTTGGCGATTTTACACATCTGCAGCTCACAAAGCTTAAATATTGGACAAACTTTTAACTTTAATACCGGGAAACCCTTAATGGGATTAACTGCAAACTGTGAGTGAAGTGGATTCTTGCCTGTTGGGAGTTTTTCTGTTATTTCTGGTGCACAAACAAATAATGTCCGTTTATATTTCAGTGGTCTCTATCTTAATATTCAGTATACAGTGTTATTAAGAAAAGGTAAATAATAATGCTGATCGGAGCACCCTTAAAAACTGGACGTCTTTTGACAGACAGATGGTTAAACTTAAAGCTATTAAGATATAGACCTGCTAACTAATATTGAAACTAGCCAGTCGAGGTCGGGCTTAAACTAAGAGTTAAAGCAGTTAACATAATGCTTGTGTGTCACGTTCATCAGACTTTCATCAACAAGCTGCCAATATGTTTGTACAAGTAAAATAAGGTCAGTTGACATTTCATGTGAACTAGCTTGCCGGAGATATCACATGATAAGTTTGTGGTTAGCTAAGCAGTGAAGCGTAGTCATTAACTTCACCATGTTTAAAGACAGCTTTGATATGTTGTATGAGGACAAATAATCTTGTTAACGCTGCCTCCTTGTGTCCTCTCAGCATGGTTCAGTGTCTGAGCGAGTGTGCCACACCTTGTTGTCCCTGAGTGACATGAGGTAGCCAAAGGCATGCTACATTTCCCCACAATACAAAAAGCCAACTGAACACAAAAGTTTTTTCTTCCTGGTTGTCACAGACCCAGAACAACCTGATGGAGAGCCCTCACTGAGCAGCGTAAAGAGCTACTTCAAACTGGACAAAAGCCAGGCTGAAGTGTCCTTGAGCAAGACACAGAGAGCCTAACAGGGTCTGACCTCTGGCCTTGGAGGGAGGGGATGGAAGCTGTATAATCTGTAGCCTGTGCAGAGAAGTTCCTGAGCTCTCTGCAGGTCTCAACCTGTTGCCGTTTGTATTTTACTCACCCTGTCACCACTCTCAGTGGCAGCGCTCCTGTTGGAACAGAGCCGACTTTTGCAGTTTTATATGTATATTATATAGTGAAGCTGCTCTCTTTAACAGTTCACATTCATAAACCTGCTTTTTGAATCCAAAGCTTCCCAACATGCAGAAACCCTCAGGGGCAAATTCACAAAAGGATTGTGTGGCTTATCTGCACTAGTATAAAAAGAAACTGTAATTCTCAAAGCACCCGCAAAGGGTGAAATGCACCCCTTTGCTTCCAAGCAAATAGTTTTGCAGTGCTTCTATTCTATTTGTGCATATCTAAATTAGGCAATATGGAGCAAAATCAGCCCCATTCTATGCAAATGAGCCTCATTGCAAAATAACAGCCCAGTTCTCAAAGATAAGCACTAATGTCCACATGCAGTTACACTGAAATTATTAGCGTCCCCAGTTTACAAGTGGTGTCTCACCCAGACATTGTTGTGGTCATGGCATGCCTCTTGTCTCTCTGACATTTTTCTGTTACTGTGGTCTTGGTACAAAGTGATTGTATCAAGTGGTTGCAAGTGATGTGCAATTAATGGTGCTATCAGTTGCCGCAATCCATTCTCTGTGAATTTGCCGGTCAGTGTTCCTCACTTTGCTCCACAGGCTTAGATGATGATTTTTACTCTGAAATCCCAGAACTATTTAAAAACATTTGATATTATGTATTGGACATCCTGTGTAGCAAAGGGACGTGCAGTAAAAAAGAAAGGTGGGAAATTACATGTAATTTATCAGGGATATGATTATGTTCATTTGTGAGATGTTTCCCCATCTGTCACAAATCTCATATAATCTTTAGTCATATATCACCATCACAGAACATACGTCGTACTGAATACATCATACAAACCCTCAAATCCACAGTATAATTTCTATGAAGCATTTATAAACAAATCATGCATTTTCTCCAGTTTAATAAAAGTTATTTTAAGAAATAAATGTATTGTTGATGGCCTGTGATCGTGGAAAACACGAGGCTTTTGTTGCAGCTGACCATGTGAAGAGATCAGCGTTGGGACAGTGATGGATGCTGCTTTACTCTTATTGTCTGCTCTGGGTTTAACTTCCTGTCACTGCAATGCCACTTCCTGCTGCATTGTTGTTAACTGTGTGTGTGTGTGTGTGTGTGTGTGTGTGTGTGTGTGTGTGGTGCATGTCCCTCCTAACTTTGTATGACTGTTTGTTTATGTGAAATGTATCTCCCCTTCCTCCCTATCCAGTGTATGTCCTGGTCCAGTTTATATATATATATATATATATATGTGTGTGTGTGTGTGTGTGTGTGTGTGTTGAAGGTGGTAACAGTTCTGGGGGAGGGTCACAGAGAGAGAGAGAGAGAGAGTGGGCTGAGGGAGAGCACAGGGGGCTGAAGGGTGCTATTATCCACGAGGCTCAATGGGCGCTTTGTGCCGGCAGCCACAGTGGGACGGTGGGGAGAGGGGCAGGGCAGTGAGCAGCACCCTGTCATAATGTTTTTGAACACACAGCACAGGAGAGAGGCAGAAAAAGAGGTGTAGGGATCAAGTTGACTGATACTTACTCAGTCTTAACAGTGATGTTTTCTTCTAAGTTGTCTGAGATATTTCTGTATTCAGTTAATGTCAAATACTGAGAAGGAGAGGATTTGTGTCTGATGTGAGTCTGAAGAGATTTGACTCCAATACTTCAAAAGAACTTTAGTAACAATTATTGTTAAAAGCAGTTAATTTCTTATATTTTTAATAAGTTGTATAGTCTATGACATGTCAGAAATTGTCCCATCTGAGTCATTCCATACCAGCTCAGCAAGGGCCTCCCAGTCCATGTGGTGGATCTTCTTGACTTTATGGCTGGTTTGTGGCATACTAGATGATGTCACTTGTAGCTCTAGGGTTTTACAAGCTCTGCTGTAAATTTGGGCATTTTAAAGTGGGGGGTCTGGGGGGATTCAGTTGCTTTTTGAGCCAACCTCAAGTGGTGATTCGATGAACTGCAGTTTTGGAACTTCCACATTGGCTTAATTTTTCAGTCATGGAGGTGGCCGCTCAGTTGTGGTTCAGTTCAGAAGGTTCTGGTCATATACAAACTGGTTCGGATTGGTCCTGGGTTTCAGCCCTACCGCAGAAAGCCTCAGCATATTCTTATTTAATAAGCTGGAACTGCTAAATATTTCTTTTTAATTTAATAATCTTCGCCGAATAAAATATTGATATGATAATAGTAGTAACATTTTTCTGCTACTGTCTGTCTTGTAACAAGTCAGTTTTATCTTTGTCTTCTTTTCAAGCTTTGAGTTCCTGCTTCCTGAATCACTTTTCCTTATTTTACCTTCTCCTTCCTCCTTTCAACTCTTCCCGTCATTCCCTCTTAAAGCAATGCTCTCATTTCAACTGTAATACATTGATGTTGATTGACACCCACATTAGGGTCACTGTGATCATTGAAGGCTTCAAGAAGTCAAATAATTATCATACAGATGAACACTCTCTCATAGTGGAGTATTGGTTATGTTGTGCAGGATACACCATTTTTACACCAAGATTTATTTTGGTTGTGTTTTAGAGCAATTTTTAGGGCTCCTCCCCCAAATTATGTAACAAGTCAAAAGAGTTTTGGCACACTGATCGATGATGAGCCGTAACTGAGATTGTTGGAGAGTGGCGTGACTAAGCTCTCCACAGTCCCGTGCCTACCTCAGTGCCATGAACTCCTTCACAATAAAATGATTGAAAACACATTTCTGAAGAATGTTGGCTAACCAGAAGCACAAAAGCACGGATTCCAACCAGCTATTGATGTGTGTGATTTGTGCTGGTTGTGTGTCTTTCGCCAGATGTCTGTGTTTGTGATTTGGTACACCATCCTGATATTTAATTACAAGTTATCACAGATGTTTAGTTTGATTGCTGTCTGGATTTCAGATAGTAAAGGGGATGTATTTGTGAGGTTTACTGGACTGTTGGGTGTTTCTTTAACATGTGGGATGCACTTCGGTAGCTTTGGATGTGACAGGAGGGCGTTTTCTTTTTGTATTTCACAGCAGGACTGAGCCCACTTCTGTCACCAGTTATGAGTTCAGAGTTTGTGTAACAAGAATGAGAGGGAGAACAAGGAGGCAAAAATGATAGAAAAACATTTTGTTTTTTCTCTCCATATTTTTATTAGAGTTGAAAAACAGTGCAGGTTTCTTACACAGTGGGTGTTTGCTGCGTTACCGAAAGTGTGCATTGTTTTATTCATCATTTGCCATTTTTGTGACATATAGTTTAAATTGTTTTCGGAGATCACAAGCAGTTCTCGTTTCATAGCTATAGGTATTGTATTCTAACATCTGACTCCTCCCCTTCTGCTACTTCCTGTCTTATCAAAGCAACTCCCTCACCGCCCTTCCTGTTAATTGAATTTCATTTTCATTTATTCTCCATACTAAGGTGGTTTATTGTCATAAAAGCTGGAAAAACAGAACGACGCAGACTCTGAATAATCACCATTTGTCTCCTGTTTCTGTGCTCTCTCTGTGCAGACGTTCACGGCATGGTGTAACTCCCACCTGCGGAAGGCTGGCACGCAGATCGAAAACATCGAGGAGGACTTCAGGGATGGGCTCAAGCTCATGCTGCTGCTGGAGGTCATCTCAGGTAACTCATCTGGACAGACTTGGGTCGATTTCCGGTTTTTGCGCGGTTCAGTGTAAGAGTTTATACCGGTTTGATTTTATGCAAACACGCTGGACCTGCATTTGTTGATATGACATGTTCTGTCATTTTAAAACGTACATCAGTAACCTCATGACATGGCAGTGCTGAATCAAACTTCTATTGCATTAGTGTTAAGTAATATGACACCATTATTAACATAATATTATGTCTACAATTGGACCAACGCCACTAGTGTCTGACAGGCTGTGAGCCGCACACAGCAACATGAAGGAGATCAAATTTCAGCAGAGGTGGGGGGTGGGAAGAGCGGCGCATGTTGTGTTTGTTTACTAGAATGTTCATGTATGTTTTTGGGGTGTTAGTCTCTCAAGAAAAACTAAAATTGCACCAATATGATTTGAGGCCAACAAAAGAGGTGTCCTGACTGGCTGTGAGTGACGAGGCGCGCCGTTTAGAGCTTAACTTTTTCGGATTCCCCGTTTGTATTTATTCTCGTTCCCTGCTTTGAAAGCGCCACAGTGGATGATGAACAGCTGATTCATAAAGTTGAGATGAGAAATTATCTACATGACACCTTTTAAATTTCACTACAAAAACCAACATAAAGTGGCAGTTGAGCTGAAAGTTTCTGGTAAATAACCATCACTAATAACAAGGGAGGCTACTTGCTGTCGGCTACATTGAATGACAATTTCAGTAAATATTCCGACATAAAATGCGTGTTTGCTAATTTGATCGTTCAAACGGAGGAAGATAGCATGTACTCATTGATCTTTTAAGTCTCCAGACTGACCTTGAGTGCACAGCTGATATTTACGTGGCTTGTTTACATGACAGAAGTGCGTATTTAATGGGTTCAATGTGGACAAAGAGCTCTGATGTTAGACGATGTGATGTGATAGTTGGATGCTCATTTGCTGTGAGGACACAGTGTCAATATGTTCTACTCATGAGTGGCTGCTGAGTCAAGTGTAACACCTAATGGTAAAATTAGGTAAACCAATCTGGTCCAGCATTCGGCCTTATATTAAATGGGTTTGAAGATTTTACACCAGCCCAACCCTACATCTGTACAACTTCACAGCACCGGAAAAATGAGGCTCAGTGTTTTTAATTAAACTAAAATGTCTGTAATAACATCTGATGTTTCACACAGAAGCCACAGGGAAAGCCGTCCAGCCCACCACACATTCAAACACGCACTTGTGTGTCACTGAGCAGCGGCCTGATTTTCAAAGCTGTCCCTGAGCTGTCGATCAGAGTGAAAAATGTTTTCAGATGTTGAAGATACACAACATCTCTGTCCATCCCAGGGTGTGGTCACTCACAGTTTCCAACCTCAGTATGGATCACATTTAAAGAAACATTGGGAACACCCTGCTATAGATCTGGTCTTGTGTTTCATTTCAGATTGGAGTGGGAAAATTGCTCCTGTTCATATAGCAGACATTCATTTGAACTGCTGCCGTCCCCTAAATGAGTTTCAGCTTCCTTTTTCTCAGTCATTTCAGTTTTTTCTGCTTTGAGCGACACCAACGTCCCTGCTGTAACTTTAACTGTCCTGACTGAGTGTTGTTCTGCTGAGCTTGTGGAAACATGCTCCGCTCTCGTCACCACGGGAGCTAACTCCCTTACATTATGTGTTTTTGTGTGTGTGTGTGTATGTGTGTGTGTGTGTGTGTGTTTGTCTGCAGGCGAACGGTTACCCAAACCTGAGCGAGGCAAGATGAGGGTCCACAAGATCAACAACGTGAACAAAGCCCTGGACTTCATCGCCAGCAAAGGAGTCAAACTGGTCTCCATTGGAGCAGAGGGTAAGCATGCATTCATGTTCGTATATACAAATATAATAAGGGCCCCCAAATAGATGCATATTACACCAAACACATCCATCTGATGTGCTAAAACCTAATGAATAAAGTTCAAACTATTCCTCATGAGTCATCAGACCTCACTGTGGAAACATCTCATTCAACTGTGATAGTCCCTCTTAAAACTTCTGACCTCAAGACCAAAAAATTTCATACTTGATGGTGAGTGTAAAATGCACACCCAATGAGGACTGAGGTCAGAGGTGCAGGGCGGATATCACACTGCTTTGTGTGCGTATGTGTGAGCGTGCGTGTCAGCTGGAGGACCTTGACCTTTATCCTACTCTATTAGGGAACATGTGACATTCCTGCCACATGACACTTCAGATACTGATGACCACTGAACTCAGAGTTGCCCAGAATACTGCACACACACACACACACACACACACACACACACACACACACACACACACACACACACTTTCTGGCCCTCTATAAAAGCAGCCCACTAAAGGTCATCTACTGGAAATCGACAGAGAGAAAAATGCCAACATAGAAAATGGAAAAGAAAAAAAAATGAGGGATGGAAGTGATGAGGTGAGAGAGAACGTCCTACAGAAATTATTAAAACCCACACATTCTAGTTCTCAGGCCTCCATTTGTTCTTCAGGGACTTCAGTCTTAAACCTTTCTGTAATGAGTTGAAGTACAGAGTTGGTGTAACTCACAGAACAGAAAGAATTTAGCTTTTATTTTTAAATTTAGAAACGGTGATTATTATTATAAATGTCTGGCAACATTATGGAAATAATTCCTACAGCGACAGACCTTTGTGTTAAAGAGTAAGATAGTTTTGGTCAACCAGAAACAACCCCCAAATTGCCTATTGCCAAACCCACCAGCCTCCTTTTAAATAAAGAGTAATTTTATGATAAAAAATAACACATGATTCACACTATAACACACTTCATTCAAAGTCAACAGAAACAAAATAAAACTTACAAAAACCATCTTGGTTCATCTTTCCACTGTTCCAGCAAATACCAACTACAGTTTGGTTAAAATAATCCTTAATTCACCCAGTTAGATGTGAAAATAGGCTCATCCTATATACATGTTAAAATGACCGTTTATTTACACAGAGTCTGGTGGGTTCGTCGATGGTGATTTCGAGGCTGTTTCTTGTTGAACAAAAAGTCTCTTACTCTTGAACAAAAAGGCCAATCTCTGCAGGGATCCTCTCCATAGTATTGTCAGACACTTAGAATAATATTCTGAGCCCATTAGCAAAAGCAAACACCTTTAGGTGGATGGAAATTGACAGTGCACAATTGCTTCGAGTGGTAACTTTGCAACCTGTTTTGCTTCTGTTGCAGTTTCAAAAATTTGGTCCCATTATTTGCTTAGACACTAAAAAGTGGGCAATAAGGATCCAAGTTTAAATACTGACGTTACCCTTTTAAGCAGAACAGAAACCTTAGAGCCAGACATGAATGTCAAATTAACCATGAAGAATGTTAGAACGAAAGTGATGTGGGACAAATTCTCAAGTGAAAGCTGACAGTTAAGTGTCACAGATCGACTGGAGCAGGTGAAAGTATGAGAGGATTGTATGTGTTTGGGCTATGAGTGGAATGTGAGCCACACTACATACCTTCTCACTAACATATCAATGCATGTGACTCACTGTTCTGTTCTGTGTGTTTTCATTAATCTGACAAATATCTGTAGATCATTGTGGGAACACTGAGATATGTGATATTCCAGAGTTCCAAACTGTAAATATTTACACTGGCACATTAATTTTTTCACGTCATTTGACAATATCCTACACAACATATTGACTTAACTGCATATGTGTCTCTTGTACAACAAATTAAATAATAAACTGTATTTTATATCTACTGAGATTGGAATTATTTTATGAAAGAAATAACTGTTTAAACATCTCATTTAGACGGAAAATTGAAAGCTGTGGGACATTCAGTGCAGTTGTGTTGGCATTATTAAATGTAAGAGCAGATGTAAGGTTGTAAAAACAGCAGCGATAGACAAGATTTACAGTCTAATAAAAGAAATGTGGTGATTGATTGAAATGATTTTTTTTTGTCTGTGTGTGCAGAAATCGTGGACGGAAATGCCAAGATGACCCTGGGAATGATCTGGACCATCATCCTCCGCTTCGCCATCCAGGACATCTCTGTAGAAGGTACTATTTCCTGTTTGTTATTTTGCAAGTGCCTTGCTGAAAGGCGCTCCGTCAGCTTGACTCCCGGCCAGATTTTCAGGATTAATTAGCCAACTGAGGCCTGCAGTAATCTTTGGTGTTTACACGCACATGCAGATGTGCAAGCTGAGGGTGCATCGTGGGAACTAGAGTGGAAGTAACAAGGCTAGAGACATTCATACACACATGAGAGGGGGTTGAGTAGTGATGGAATACAGGCAAGATGAAACAGGTCTGGCCTACATGATGACTGACGATGATGTAAAACTACTCAGTGCTAGGAAAAGGAGCTGTGTGTAGGATTTATGGTGATCTGTGGGCAGATATGGAATATACTATTGACAGTTATGTTTTCATTAGTGTTTAATCACCTAAACTAAAAATCACTGTTTTTTGTTAGCTTAGGATGACTTCTTCATATCTTCATCAGGGGACTCCCTAAAAAAATGATATTTCACACAGATGGGTGTGGTTTAGCAGGATGAAACAGTGCACGCTTCACCAAGCTCTGTGCCTGTCTCAGCCCATGCTCTGAGCGCATGTCCATGCATACAATATAAGATCAGTTGATTTGATGCATGTGTGAAGGCGTACGGTATGATTTTCCTATAATTTGTATGGTCTCAGCTGTTTGGGCATCTGTTGATGCAAGATACCACATTGATATCACCAATCTGAGTAGATGTTTGTTGTTAGACATAACTAAGTCCATTTAAATGTCAGTATATTTTAGCATTATTTAGATACATACATACATATTTTCCAGTGTAACATTATGATTGTAAACTAAAAATGTATCAGCAGTCAGGTAAAAGATATTTACAAATCTGCGGTGAAGTCTATTTACAGTTGCAGCTGCGTCAGCAGCACAAGGAGCTTAAGTGTAAGTGCATCTTCGTAAATCAATGATCACAAAAAATAAAATTAAAAAATCACCTCTGTTTGAAGGTACAGTTAGGCATGAGGTCTCCTCTAGGTTTAGTCCAGTGGTGAAGGCAAAGATTAGGTTAATAATCACCTTTTTTAGGTTCCAGTTTGCTAACTTATCCAAAGGGTGAGGAACGACCCATGCGAGCCAATGAGAATGCACATCAGGCACACAACACTCTGTGTGATGTAGGGTGTATGGCACCGCCCCCGAATGAAGGGATATCCAGTTAGTTGCAGTTTGCAACCTCACCGCTAGCTGCCACTTAATTCTACATACTACACCTTTAAAGAAACTGGGAGGCATGTTTTTAAGTGTAAAGTACCATTAGGAAGATCAGGAAGAATTTGACTATCTTAGATTATTATTTCATTTCATGACTTCTTTGCTTTCTTACTTGAAATATTGCTCTTGTTTTTGATCCATTTTTAGTTTATATACAGACTCAGTTCTTTGACATAGTGTTATTTTCCCTGGCAGTGTTACTTTATTTTATTTTTGGTTAATTCTATGCAGATGACACTTGCACCAAATGTAATGTGTGTGGGATTTGGGATCACAAGTGTGTTTGTTAATATTACTTTATTGATAGTTTTGTGTCATTGGACTGTTAATTTTATCATTTCTTGTTTTTATGTTTTTTTGTTTAAATGTCTGTTCATTTCCACGTTGAAAACGAGGTGGTGCATCTCAAAGGGTTCAGGACATATTATTACCGGGTTATACAATGAAAAAATTGCTGCATTGTTAAAACTTTTTCAAACTAAGTCTACAGCGAACACTTATTTTCATTATCCAGTAATCTGCCAGTTTGTATTTCGATTAATTGATCAGTTGTCAGTTAATGGCAGGCTGTAAAATGTCAGATAATGGCCATCACAAGGTCAACAGTCAAGAACACTGAACTTAGATTGATATAAAACAGCAACAAATTCTCATCCTCTGCCATTTCCTGCTGATAAACCAATGGATTAATTTACTAATCACTCCAGTATAAACAGTCATAAAGGCGGGTGTGCCGTTTTATTTTTGCAATTATTCTGCTGAATAAATGTTGCCTGGAGAATCAGTGTCCCTCAGTCAGAGCTGTAATGACTCTGTGGTGGCTAATTAAAACCGTCTGTGTTGACTAACTCTGGTGGGTGTGGGCCACTGTGAGGAGTACTGACTCATATTTTTTATTCACCATATTAGTGACTGATAGGTTTCTGATGTTTGTTTCGGCACACACAGTAAACAAAAACATCCTGATATGTTAAGTCCGCTGATGAGGACTGAAGCAGTTTATATTTAGCACACTCATAAACATGCTGTGCAGTATTTTCCTCTCTGCTTGAGCACCGTTAATAGAATAAAACGAGATAATTCACTGTAATGAAGTCTTTTCCAAAACAGGCCTCTAACTCCTGCTGCTGCTACTCTCTCTCCTCCTTTCTCCTCATTACAGAGACCTCTGCGAAGGAGGGTCTTCTGCTGTGGTGCCAGAGGAAGACCGCTCCCTACAAGAATGTCAACGTGCAGAACTTCCACATTAGGTATCACACACTCACACACTTAGAGACCCTAGAAAGTAATAGAAATTCGGCATTTCCATCAAAATTCATTTCTCTACCTTGAGGCTCAAGAATTTTTATAAGAGCTTTTAGGGATAGTAAAAGCCTCCAGTGAAACCCTGATTTATAAAAGATAAATAGATGAATTAAAAAATGAAAAGTCTGCAAGGAACTTTGTCAGATCTGGCCAATATTGAAGATGAAAAGAAATTAACATGTTATTGTGATCTATTAAACACACAAACACAGTACAACTCTGTAACACATCTCAGTTGTCTGGGAGCAGAATGACCACGCCTAGTGATGCATGAGGAATTTGTATATATGTATTGAGAGGTAGAGATGTCTTCATCATCCAACACTGTTAAAAGCTGAATGAAAGCTCAGTGTTCTCCTATGAGCTGCTGTAATTATGTAGAGAGGTCGCCCCCTGTTGGAGAAACTGGAACATGTTTTACTTCTCAGAAGTAGTCAGGAGCCACTGAAACTGTTCTGACAGAAAAATATGATGCGTAGAGTATTTGAAAATGAGAAATCAATAAAAGATTATTAAGGGAAGGATCAGAAGCTGTCAAGATGCATTGTATACACGACTTAGTTAGACTGAGTTAAGACTATATTGTCCTGAAGTCAATCTCACACTGTTATCCCTCTGCCTAACACCTGACTCATCTGTTCTCTCTAACAGCTGGAAGGACGGTCTCGCCTTCAACGCTCTGATCCACAGACACAGACCTGATCTCATCGATTATGACAGCCTCAGAAAGGTACACACATTCACACACACATAAACATTACTGCTGGACGCAAACATTAAACCTAGTCCAAACCCAAATGTTATATAGCCTTTGTATATATCAAAGCAAACTAATAGTTAGGTTTCAAATTTAAAAAAAAATGACCTTAGTGAGTTTGTCGTCTTTTGACGCCGTGATTGGTTGTTCAGGATGACCCGGTGACAAACCTGAACAACGCCTTTGAGGTAGCTGAGAAGCACCTGGATATCCCCAAGATGTTGGACGCAGAAGGTAGGCCTGAATGATACTGTGTTATTATCGAACTGTCCTGTCGATGTTCTGTTGTCCTCTCTACTGTATGCAGATTGTGTTTACATGCACACAACAAGGTGACTGTATTGTAAGTGGACAGCAGTCTAATTAAGCTGCTCGAGTTATTTAGTGATTTTACAACCCCTGTATTTGTATTCTCATTTATATGTGTTATGTGCTAAAATTGCTGTCATGCAGCGCTTGATTGTTTTACACGCCACAGTTCAAATGTAATCTGCCCAATAGTAATTAAGTCGCTTTCTCTACCTCAAGCAGCCAGAGTCGGTGACCAGCAAGGATAATAAATTGAACACCCCAAGGTTAGGGTGCTCCGATCAATTTGCCACCGATGGTTAATTCTAAATAGTTAAAAGGCTGATCAGATGATGCAAAACTGAATCAGACTGACCTAAATCCTCGGAACTGGAGCACCTGCTGTGTGTGTGACTGTAGCTGTACTTCGACCAGGAACACAATCGCAGTAGTATTAGAGTTCAGCAGGGCTAATCAATTACAAATTCAGTCGGGCAGGATTTTAAAACTAGGCAGTGTAGATTGGTCAGACATTTTCAGCACCCTTTATTTTAGCTTTTGGAAATGACAAAATTTAAAACAAATGCAAATGAAGTAAAAAAAAATACCAATGTTTATCATTAAACTTTTAAAGTAACCAAAAGAAATTGCTCACATATCTGACTCCAGCACATCACAAAATGCGCACACAGAATAGAATCAGAGCTATCAGCCGCTACCAAAGCACAGAACCATATCAAGTGGCAGCAATGGTAACTAATAACACACTCTCTCTCTCTTCCTTCATTGTCCTCCACAAACACACACAATATTTTCCATAGAGGTCAGACAGTATTTAGGAAAAGACATGTGATGTATTTTTTGACCATTCAACAGCAGCCCAGATGTTGTGATAAGCAACTACGTGTGGTCATAATGGTGTCACATGAGAAAATATTGATTTGTGAAAGACATGATTGGTGGTGTCACTATACCGACCCATACATCCGACCTGATCGGTACTTCACACATGTAACTTAAGAGATGTAAATGAAGTGAAAAAGTTCTACTTCCAGATATTACATGTAGATGACATATTTATTCACACCAGTATATCAGATTTATTTACTCTCCACTTGGAGGTTGCTTCTGAGTGTTATGTGCCAATTGAATTAGCCTGGAGTACTGTGTAGCCTGCCCTGACTGAATTGAATTATCGTGCCACTTCCTTTACAGTCACAGTGTTGTTGTGCGTGTAAATGTGGCCTCTGATCTCCAAATGCACTGTTGTACCTGTTTATATGAGAAGCTGTCATCTCTAGGATAGATGGAGACTCCATGTCATTGTTCCTCCTCTGCTCCCCTAATGCTTTGATTGTAAATGAGATGCAACTGTCTGAGTGTGTCTTTGTCTGTATGTATGAGGGGAAGACCATTATGTGCACTGAGGGCTGATGCTGATGTTTATGTTAATTTTCTTCAGCATAAAAACAAACCTAATGTTGAAGGTGTTTCCTTGCTGAACTTAACTCGTTATTCTAAAATATCACAGAAACTAAAATAAGAATCATAGAATTATACACACACAAATAGGGCTGTACCGAATTATTGGAGGCTCCAAAGCTTTATTCATTATATTAACATTCAAAATTGAAACAGTTTTTATTTTTATTTTATTTAACCCATATTTAATCAGATAATTCCAGTTTTACCAGTTATCTTAAGTTTGGTGCAGATGTTCTCTCAGGCCCACATTTTTTGTCATTTTAAAACCTCAATAGAGGCTGTGAATGTGAAAAAAATCATAATCGATACAGCCCCACACACAAACAAGTGTTTTAATAAAGATGTTTATGGTCTGACTCTCATATGTACAGTATTGTTAGTTCTTGTATTTGCACTCCTTCTGTTTGCATATGAATTGAGTCTTGATCGTCCTGTCTGGCTGTTAACAGCTACAGCAGCTTGTTAAGTGTGTGTGTGTGTGTTTATAAAATATGAGTGCATGTACATGTGTGTTCTGTCTATAATCACATGTCTTGTCAGTATATGTGTATGTCTTCATAACCACAGTCTCCCCCCCCCCCCCCCCCCCCCCCCCCCCCCCCCCCCCCCCCCCATCCCCCCCCCCCCCCCCCCCCCCACCCCCACACACCTTGTAGACATTGTGAACACTGCTCGTCCAGATGAGAAAGCCATTATGACTTATGTGTCCAGTTTCTACCATGCCTTCTCTGGAGCACAGAAGGTACCCTCTGACCCCTGACCTCAACCTTTAACCCCCCTCCGTTACTAACAAGGTGCTGCTTCCTGTCCAGCATGGCGTCACTTTCTCCACAGCGCTGCCAAACCATTTACGAGGACACTGGATTTATTGGGACACAAACACACACACACAGACACAGTGTGAATGTACCTTTGCTGGTGAAAGCAGTAAATAGTCTGTCCGCCCTGTTGTGATGTGTTCTTATTGAAATGAGTGTGTAGGTTGCAGAAAACTGCAGCTGAGCTTGTTCTCCAGACTTTTACAGAATTTCTATACAGTGCAGGTGAATGCAGTGTCGTCCCATGAGCAGCAGTGATCAGAGGTTCAGGTTTTTCTAGTTGATACAAATGTCTGTAGGCTTGAGATCAAATCAGACTTCACTTCCAGATCCTGTTTGCTTTTACAAGCAGCCACAGCAAATCAAAGACATCATGTATAGACCGAATCACAGTGTTTGTTTACAATAACTTCTGGGTAGGAAACACCCACGTCACGTACACAAAATCAAACGGTGTTATGCAAACCCTGCCTCAGATGGTTAGGTTTAACCACCTAAAAAATCAATATCAGTTTAAGTGTATGCTGTAGTTACAGTAATTTCACTACTTTACCTTGCTGTCAGACGGCCTTTTCAGACACTGCCTCCTGCAACTCTCCTGTCCACTCCTTTTATTTCTACCCTCCCATCTCATTTCTCTGCTCCACCTCTTGTTTCTCCTCTCCTCTCCTCTCCTCTCCTCTCCTCTCCTCTCCCCTTCTCCCTGTAGGCTTCTGACAGGAAGCCAGTTGATGCGTCTCTTGTTTTGCTCTTCCTCTAATTAATTTTCTGGCTCATTCAGAACTTGTTTGTGTGCCTCTCTGCAGTCTCAGGAGAGGACTCTGTGTGTGTGTGTGTGTGTGTGTGTGTGTGTGTGTGTGTGTGTGTGTGTGGCTTATTCTGCCTGTAGTTCTTGAATTAATTACATGAAGTCAGTAACAACAGGGAAAGTTTGTATTTGTAGCAAACTGCAGATGATAACAAACAAACTCTTAAATCTTCAGACTCACTGCTTTTGCCAGCATTTTATTGTACTTACCTAAATGAACCAAACTGAAAGAACAACCATCTTCACACTTAAAATAAAGCAATTTAATGAGCTTGACTCAGCAGTCGATGTGTGTGTTTGTGTCCCAACCTTGAACTTGTGGCTCCAGTGTCCCTCAACACTCTTCAAGAGGACACTTGTCCTCCAACTGTCCTCGTCCCCCTGACACCCCTCTTCCTGTCGTCAGTGTGGGAGGAACTTGAAGCTGTGGACCTAAAGAGGAAGCCACTATCTCTTCCCAGCCCTTGCTCTCAAACCTTGCAGGGACCATGTAGCTTTGGCTTTACTCTTTCTCTCTCTCTCTGTTTACTTTTCTTCATCAACCTCTCTCTGCCCTGCTGGGTGCTGGGTGATGCGTAGACATCGTGGGTACGCTGAGGCCAGATGAGAAGGCCATAATGACCTATGTATCCTGCTTCTATCACGCCTTCTCTGGTGCACAGAAGGTGAGCTTCTCACGCTTCAGACTCACAGACTCACACCTTGGTGCAAAGCAACAACAACAAAAACCCAGCAGGGTTTCCATCACTGATGAGATGAGTTTATTTATTCAAGACAGTGAAAAGACAGGAACAGTTTCCTGGGTAATATAGTAATTCTCAGCTAGTGACAGACAATGAATCGAATAACAGAAATATACTGACAGGTTTCCCCAACATGTATTAGATAGAGCCGCTTTATATTTTTTCTTTACATATATGTATGTAGAGGAGGTCAGAGTGTTTACACAGTCAGACTTGTGGTCATGGATGCTCTCTTATAGAGTTCTGGACACTCAGTAAAGCAAAGTCAGGAAATAACAGGATTAGGACCATGATGGGAACTCTGAGAACAACAACAACAAACGCTTTCTGATGCTCCTGTTTCAGTTTCTTTGGACATCGACTGTGTTTCCCCAAAATGGATTACTTTATGGTCTGGATTTAAATTCCCAAACTCATGTCAGTACTGTGATTGTCTGCACTTGATTTGTTGTGTGTGTCAAATTATTTACAATTATGAATATCTCAGCTGAATAACTAAAGACACACTAAATAAAGACATATATATAAATTGCATTGCTACGTGTACTTACAGCAGTTTGTATTTCCCCTGTGGAAAACAATAAAATATGAAAGATCACCGTACTGATGTAGTTTTGGGAAAGTCAGACCTGTTTGGGTTTGTTACTGTGGGAAACACTGGTTGATGTCGCTCCAGTTTCTCTTCAACTACTATTAACACTTTTCAACTCTAAATGTTTGTTGTATGGTGTCATATTATGTATATGCAGTATATGTGAAATATTAGTTTAGACATTAAAGGTCCAGTGTGTAGGATTTCAGGGGATATACTGGCAGCATCCATACAAGTAAAATAACCTTTTCTTTAGTGTATAATCACCTGAAAATAATAGTTGTTACTCAAGAATGAGCCGTTTACATCTACATAGGAGGCAGTTCCTCGTCCACAACATGGCTGACTATGTTGTACTGCCATGTGTCTACAGTAGCCCAGAATGGACAAACCAAACACTGGCTCAAGATAAGGTCATTCGTGTTTTTATGCCAGTAGGGTTGGGTACCATTCAAATTTGAACTGGTGGTGGTAAGTCAATTTTGGTACTAGTATCCACAATACCTTTTTTCACCGGAAAGCCAACAGAGTTCTGTGGCCACCGTCCTGGCTTCGGGACACTTTCCACCTCCTCTCTGAACCTGGTAGCTCCACAGAGCTCCATTGTCTCCACCGCAAAGCGCCCCGAGGCAAGAAAGCTATCCATGGAGTTACGTGGCCAGCTTCGGGCACTTCACAGTGCTTACACCTCCTGTCTGAACCTGGAGTTGTCACTCAGGTGCAAGGCAGTACCCAACCCTACGCGTCAGCCACTGTAGTTAACGGCTCCTCAATGATGAGCCAAACAGCTTCAGAAAAACATATTTTTGTAACAGAAACTGTACATCAGTGTTTTAACTGGTTCAAATCACCAGGTTTGTTTGTTTTGGAGAGGAAGAGACCTCTGTGCATAATTCTGCTCCCAGTTAAAACTTCCTGACTGATGAACACTGATGGAATCCTAACTGAAAGTTCACACCAGTTTTCGCTAGTTGCAATCTACCATCCTTACCACTAGGTGCCGCTAAATCCTACACACTGGCCCTTTAAAAGTGAATATTTAAACTCAAAAGCATCTTATCCATATATGATGGAACACATAAAATGTTTGTAGCTTTAATCAATATGTCAAAGTCTTTGTACTGTTTTTTGTCTATTATTCCAGTGGTACAATAGTGTAATATCCTAGGCAGACCTACTGATGTGGACTCCAGCGCTACATGAACCTGTAACTAGATGTACGGACTGACTCCTGAATTGTGACAGGAGAAGCATGGAGCTTTAAAACACAGATTGATTTTTGGCACATTCGACTAACCATCAACAGCCGGAGCATGTTTTTATTAGTCAAATGTAACCTTCATTTGACCTACATTGATTTGTCTTTGTGCACTTTTTTTAATAACGTGCCTGACCTTGTTTAGATTAATTAGTATTCACTGCCTGTGTGTGAAGTGTGCTTGCACAACTTTTGAACGGAAAAACTCTTATAACAGTGGTAATGAAAACTCAGGTTGAGGTAGTTATAAAGAGCAATAGGCACTTATCTTCTGTTTGCTGTGGTGACATAAGGGAATACTTCACAACCCAAATCACCATTTGTATATCAAACACCCACCCTGTGTTGAATTCCTGAAGAAAACATTTTTTCTCATATGCCTTCGCAGTGAAGGAAAAATCCAAAAATGTAAAAAATTCTTGTTGAATTGAAGTCATAGGGAGTCCATGTTTAACATCAGCAAAACTTTATCAAAACATCCATGTACAAACTCTCACACAATTCACGCAGATTTACCTAGGTCTTATTTATCCTGTCGTATGCTCAGTACTTCACAGACAGCTCTCTCTGACAGGGAACTGAAATGGGAGTGAAACCTATCCATGCTTATCCAACAGTAATTTTACCTCGCTGAACACGTGAGTTGCTGGTCTACCACTACCTTTATTAGTTAGTGAGTTTGTGTTATAATGTGACTTTGGTAAATCTGAACTGGCTCTTAAAAACACCAAAGCCACACTATAACACAAACTATTTAACAGATCAAGGCAAGGTGATTTAAGAGGGAATAGATATGTTTCACTTTCAGTTTTATATAATAAGGTTATAGCAAAAATGTATGTGCTTGGAAAGTACTGAGCATATGACTGGATGAATGAGACTTGGACTATACTGCAAGAGTTGTGAGAGTTTGTAATCAGATGTAATCAGCCCCATGACTTCACTTCATGAAGAATTTTCTCTGTTTATGGATCATTGATTCACTGTGGTATTTGGGGGGTTGAAGTATTCCTTTAAATGTGCAGCATCCTGTTAGAAATATGTAACTACAGTGAATGTTCTCACTAAGCTTTGGGCACAACGAGTGGACTCAATGTCACAGTATTTTATCCAATTACTGTGAGTGTTGCTCACCGCTTTGCTTCCTGATAGGCTGAGACAGCTGCAAATCGTATCTGCAAAGTGCTGGCTGTCAACCAGGAGAATGAGCAGATGATGGAGGACTACGAAAAACTGGCCAGCGATGTGAGTACAAAACTTAGTATGTTTGCACCTGGGCTGATTAGACCTCTTCACTTCAGGAGAACTTTACCATTGAGAAAGTGTCTTGTTTCCAGTGGATGACAGCCTGATTGTTTTTCCTCCCTGTCTTCCTCTCTGCTTCCAGCTGCTGGAGTGGATCCGTCGAACCATCCCCTGGCTGGAGAACCGAACCCAGGAAAAGACCGTGAATGACATGCAGGCGAAACAGGAGGACTTCAGAGACTACCGCTGTGTCCACAAACCACCCAAGGTATAGAATAACGTCTGCGGTGCTAAAATTTAGCCTCACTGGCGTTAACTACCCTGCCGTGAGCCAGCTGAGTATGGATGTCCTGACAGTACATTCAGTGTTTTTATATCCACTCCATTCTGTCATTTTAAGAGTTTTTTGTTTCCTCTGCTGAATGTGTTCACCAACGCTGTGGGCCGACTTCACTTCCTGTTTCAGGTCCAAGAGAAATGCCAGCTGGAGATCAGCTTCAACACTCTGCAGACTAAACTGAGACTCAGCAACAGACCCGCCTTCATGCCATCAGAAGGACGCATGGTGTCTGTATGTATACAATCGTCATTTATGCAGCTCATTTCTGTTTAAAAATCCAATTTGAAATTCATTAAAAAAGGTCTTAAATCTAAATCGCATAACGCCGTAGGAACCATTCTTTGGTACATTTTAACAACATGACATTGATTCAGAAAGTTGCTTTTTACCATCATATAGTGAACAACAAAAGTTCAGTTCCTCCAAATATTACAGCAGAATACTCTGTCGAGTTTCACACCATTTCATTCATACTTTCCTGTACATATTGGAATGGTCGATGGTTATTCTGCTATATGTGAACTACACAGGCACAGAAACAGGTGCTGTGCTGTACTTTGCAGTGAGGGATTTATATCAGTAACTCCTGCTGTTTGGTCTCAGGATATCAATGGAGCGTGGCACACTCTGGAAGGAGCAGAAAAAGGCTACGAGGAGTGGATTCTCAGTGAGATCAGACGTCTGGAGAGACTGGAACATTTGGCCGAGAAGTTCCACCAGAAGGCTGCCATCCATGAATCCTGGACAGATGGTGAGTAAAGGGTTCATCACACACATATTCACACTGGATGTACAAACTCTATGCTGTTTGAGTCGCCTCTCTGGGATCAGTTTGGATCTTCTTTTTTTTTTTTTTTTTTTTTTCCTTCAAAAATCTTGCCTCAGTTTCAAAATTAAAAATCCTGCTGATTTCTTTTCTCTTCTTCATCCAACAGCACTTTTTGTTAAAGTGAAGTTATTCAATCAAATTTAAAGAAGCAACAGACAGCATTTTTGCCTATATATATATCATTATGAAAATAATGTGGGTTGCACAGGGTAGTATACACAGTAAAATCAGACTATCAGCGTTTATAGGTAACTTAATGGCTTTGCAATCTTTGCAATAAGCTTCTGCCACCGGGGACGAATTTTTGCGGAAAAAATCTGCTTTACGGCAGGAAATGCATCATGTTTTGCCAAACTGGTTGGTCAGCCAATCAGGGACTGGAGCTGGTCCTTATGAGGAACTGGCCGGGGCATGAGATAGTTGAGTCAGGAGTACAATGGCAGACGGACAAAGTTTGGAAACAAGTGAAAAACGGCCTCCAAAAAGAAAACGAGCTCGTCTGTCTGAGGAGGCGAGGATCCACAAAAAGGAGAGTGATCAGTAAGTAACACGGCTAAATGTTAGCTAGTCGAGAGAGGACTGTACTGTACTGGCTGCTAGTTTATTCCTAGCTGGCCAGCATCGCAAATCGCCACAACCAGGGACCGGGTAGCAAGTGTTGGACGGCTGACATCCTCGTTGCCATTCTACGGCAGCCCTCGGACAGTGATTACCCACACCCCCCGCCGCCGCCGCCACCACAGCTACTGGGCACGCAGCCTCTCCGACCGGGAGAAGTGGAGTAAAATCCTCTCCTCCGCTCCCGTTTGTCTGGTGAACGCCTCTCCTCTGTCAATACACTCTGCCAGCAGTTTAATAATATTGATGCCAGTTGTAACATTTGAATCTTTTAGTAGTAAGCCATGTTCTAAGCGGGATAATGTATAGTGAGCCGGTGACTGTTGAAAAAATAACTCTGTACGTTGGGGTTCCATTCCCCTGTCGGGAGTTATTTTTCAACAGTCACCGGCTCACTATACATTATCCCTTACATGTCTACTGTTGTTTGTACTGATACTGTACATATTGGTATAATTTACTGTGAGTTGTTTGTACTGGTATTGCGCATTCTGGTATAATTATTTGCATTACTATTTGTTTTTTTCTTTAGATAAATCTGATAATTGTTGCTCAGTCTCTTTACTCATTTATTTAGTAGAGTGTCCACACACCTTCTCATTCTACATATACATAGAGGTATACTGGTGGCTTTACAGCCTACATTTTATTGATTATCTCTGATCCCCACGGTCAATTTGGTCTTTGCGATAGTGCAAGCAACACTGCTGACGCTAGGTGGCGCCAAGCTAAAAAAAAACGAATCCTATCTGTTGCCTCTTTAAAATACAGCTGTGATCTTTATTTAACCTGTCGGTCTTCCTCGTACGGAGAGGAAATGATGCACAAATTTGACAGTGTTTCTGAGTGTATTGCAGCATTTTCAGAGATTTGTACTGTAGGATAAACTCATAAATGAAATGTATGTGCATGCAGGTAAGGAGGCCATGCTGACCCAGAAAGACTATGAGACCTCCACCCTGTCAGAAGTGAAGGCGTTGCTACGGAAACACGAGGCCTTTGAGAGCGACCTGGCAGCCCATCAGGACAGAGTGGAGCAGATCGCCGCCATCGCACAGGAACTCAAGTAAGGAGAGAAGAAGAAGTGTGGAGTGATAAACTGCTGTGTAGAGAAAAATAATATTAAGAGGAAAAATCAACTGAATAATGTATCTGTGTGTAAATGAAATATCTGCTAATGCCATAAACTCTGTGTGTTTCCAGCGAACTGGATTACTACGACTCAGCCAGTGTCAACGCTCGCTGTCAGAAGATCTGTGATCAGTGGGATGTCCTGGGAGCCCTCACCCAGAGCCGCAAAGAGTCACTGGAGGTACGAATCAGTGTGTGATTTCACAAAAGCCTGGTGCAACAGAGCTTCATCTGTTAGATCAGACAGGTCGTGATTTATATCACTGTATTAAACCATTTTATTTTGCCAAAATTCTTGTACAGAAGCTGGGGTTGACAAAAAATTATAAATATAATATAAATTTGTCCAGTCATTTGGTTTTGTCAAATATAAAGAAGGAGTCTGTTAAAAACATTGTCATATTTCTCAAAGTAGTGTATCAAAACGCCATCATTGTATCAAGTACAGATACTCAGTCCTTAGGGCTAATAAAGTATTTACTGCTGTGTTAATAATTGATATCCACACATCTAAATTCTTCCTCTTCTGTTGTCTCACCAACAGAGGACAGAGAAGCAGCTGGAGTCAATAGACGAGCTTTACCTGGAGTACGCCAAGAGAGCGGCGCCCTTCAACAACTGGATGGAGGGAGCGATGGAGGACCTGCAGGACATGTTCATCGTCCACAATATTGAGGAGATCCAGGTACCTGGAAACTGCACAGTGTGGGAGTGTGGACCAGAGAGATGCAACACAAGAGACAGGCTCAAATTTGAGGATTTACATAGTTATTTTAATTAAACAGTACTGGGAGCAAGTGTTAACATTTAGTTAGTAAAGAGGTTTAAACCACATCTGGCATTTGATTGATTTTTCTTCTAGTCGCTGTCTGTTGTCTGTTCCTGAAACCAGACGTGTTTGTTTCCTCCCTCAGGGTCTCATCACAGCCCATGAGCAGTTCAAGTCCACCCTGGCAGAGGCCAACAAAGAGCGAGAGGCCATCCAGTCCATCCAGGCCGAGGTGCAGAAGATCGCCCATAGCAACGGCATCAAGCTGAGTGGAGGAAACCCCTACACCACCATCACACCTGAGAGCATCGACAGCAAATGGGAGAAGGTAGACTGCAGCCTCTACTTTTCTTCTTTTTTGTCTGGCTGTTACTAATGGTTTTTGATAGAGTTGTTCTGATACTGATACAAGTATCAGATACTGTCAAAAATACTGGATTGGGTATCGGCGAGTCGTGTTATTTATTGATGATCTTTAAAGTAGTTAAACACCTGGATAAAACAGCTGTTTCCACAGATATCCACAGATTCTTCCTTGTTGCTATAAAACAGCAGGTTGCACTGTCCACAATCTGAGTCAGTCTCTGGACGCCCGAAGATTGACAGATGTTCTGCTGTTCTCTCTGTGAAGGTGCACCTACAGGTGCTTTCTGTTAAAGCTCTGAGAGTTTCTAATGTGTGTGTGTGTGTATGTGTGTTTGCAGGCGATGGACATGGTGCCGCAGCGTGATAACGCCCTGCAGGATGAGCTCAACAAGCAGAATTCCAACGACACTCTGAGAGCCAAGTTCGCTACTCAGGCCAACACAGTCGGCGCCTATATACAGGCCAAAATGGAGGTAATGGATTAGCCCACACAGTCGGTCCGAGTGCTCACCATTGTGTTGAAGCAGTTCATCCTCACACAGCAGTGTGTAGTTTGTCACAGTTTTCAGGCCAACATTGTACAACAGTGAGCTCATAGAGCAAAGAGTCGACAGGGTTCAGTGGATACTCATAACCTCACTAACAGTTTGGAAGTCAGTTTCACAGTTTTCGACAGGTAAACTTGTTTGGGCGGGGTTTCTAATTTGCTTATTCATATTCTTTATTTACTCACTATGTTTGTTCATGATCACTAGTTTTTGGATTTGGCATGCTGCACACATACTGCTTCACTTGCAACTACTAATGACAATACAAGTAGACCAAGAGCACTGAGCAGCACAGTACAGGAGCTGCGAATAAAAAATCTTCACTAAGGATTCAGATCACAGTCAAGCAGCCTCGGAGCACTTTCTTTTTATTATTAGCAGTATTTTACCATTTGAGTTGTAGTACCATGTCCCAGCCACAAACGCACCTGTGAGCACTTTTTTAAAATCAGAAAATGCATCCATCTTCTCTAAAGTCACAGAGTGAGGTCTTATCACGCATACTAACTACAGAAAGAGATAGATCCTTTGCTGGATGGACCCTGCTGTGTCAAAGTTTACTTCTGAATGTTTTCTAAAGATTTCACACTGTGCCACTTGTGATAGTGATGGCGGATATTGGTTCAGAAATCTATAAACTGTACATTTTGTAGGATTAACAGGTAGTGCACATTGTGTGTTTTCAGGAAATTGGCAGGATATCCATTGAAATGAACGGCACTCTGGAGGACCAGCTCACCAGCCTGAAGGAGTACCAGCAGAACATCATGTCTTACATGCCTGAGATTAATACACTGGAGGGATACCATCAGCTCATCCAGGAGGCCCTCATCTTTGACAACCAATATACTTCCTACACAATGGAGGTAACACACACACACACACACACACACACACACATATCTAAAATCTTCATGAATGAATCTGTTCAATCATTTCAGTCTTGCTCTTTACACTCTTGGTAAAAGCAGTGTGTTTTTATAAAACAACCTCTGTTCCACTGCCCCATATCAAGTGAAAAGAGCACAACACTGAAAGACGATGTATACCATGTTTTCTCTCACACCTCTAATCTTATGTCTTTTTCCTTCCCCTCTCTCTGCAGCACCTCCGTGTGGGTTGGGAGCAGCTGCTCACCACCATCGCCAGAACCATCAACGAGGTTGAGAACCAGATCCTGACGCGTGACGCCAAAGGCATCAGCCAAGAGCAGCTTTATGAGTACCGCGCCTCCTTCAACCACTTTGACAAGGTCAGGGGCCCGAGCCTAGGGGCCACGGCTTATTTCTTACACTTGTTTGGTGCTTTTTGTACTCATTCTGTCACAGTGTTAAAGTGGCTGACTTGACTGACTGACTGACTTTAACATGACTGAATGAATGTGTAGACCTCACAAGGGGGTGAGAGAGGATCCAGGCATGTGAGTATTCATCCAGATGTTTTACACAGGCGAGCACATGTTGGGAAGAAGTTGTGTTCAGGTGTTAGCAGAGCAGAGAAGACAGTATATCACTGCGTACAGGTGCTGTTGGTGACTGGCTTATATGTAAGCTGAAACGCCTCCTGTCACAGATCCAGAAAATAAAGACGACAGGAAAATAGGGCTCAGGTTGAAAAATACTGAAGATACTCTTTATTTGGGTGTAAAAAGCACGATGCGTCACCAGACTTCTGTGTGCTGTGGTCGTTGTTGAAACTCATAAGGATGAGAATGACACCAACATCATTCACCATCTCACACCTCTATGTGTGTGTGGTTGACTCATGTTACTGTCTGACACTGCAGGACTCCGCCACCCATTCCTTTGCTCACTCACCATCACATCACGTTAGTGTTTCCTGGCACACAACACATCTTGTGTTCTTTTACAGCACGACAGTAGAACCTTTGAATATCTTGGAATCACTGCGCACTGCGCATGAGGAAAGGCTTTGTTATAATATTAACCTCTTAAAACAGTGGACATGCTGACTTCTTCTTTATGTGTGCTGAGATAGTTGGTAACTGAAATTTTCTATTTTTAGAAATGTGCATGTGGAGCTAAATAACATATTTATATTATCCTGCTGTATTTTTAATCAGAAAGTCTTTTAGTGTTTGCATAATGAATATTTAAAGGGGAAGTTCCGTTTTTTATAACCTGGAGCTTATTTCTGGCATTAAATACGGTTGTTTACTCACCCAGATAAGTTTGGTGTCATTTGGAGTCATTCGGAAGATATTTAGATCTGCGAGAGCCACGTACATCCATATAGTGGGAATGATCAGGGCACTGACAATGAGGCTCTAAATAACACATTATCTGCCACGAAACTCGTTCATTTCACTAGAGTTGCTTGTCATCATCATCATCCGGGTCATTTATACTGACCTACTAACCTCTGACCTGGATGATGTCAGAGGCAATTCGTAAAGACAATCCTCTTTACCACTGAAACGTTCACCTTTCTGTTTCTCACTTTTTGTCACTGAGCACTATGTAATAATAAATTCACGTTTTGCATAAGAAGTGCCTCTGCTTTTTGTGCAGTGTGCGGGCCGTTCTACACAAGCAATGAGAAGAAACTAAAGAAATGTAAATTCTCATAGTTATTTACTTAACAAGCAAACAAATTCAAGGAAAATAAACAATTTATGCATGTGTATAGGCTAACGTTACTTACTCAATCGAAAGTTGCCCGTTCGGTCCTGTAGGCTTTGGCTGGGTCTTCCAGTTTACTTTCGGGACACGAAAAAAAGTCTCTACAACAGCCCAGTTGATCATAGAAGTGAAATCTTCTGTAGTTGTGAGACAGTCATTTCTGGAGACATCCAGACATGTATCTCCTGGCCTCAAATCCCACTCGGAGCAACAAAGGCATTCCTCCTCTGTTGGCATAGTGGAACATTGTCCACAAGAATACACACACCACCAGTTAGCATCTATTCTCGGACGTGCAGCGGTTTGTTGTTCTCTGGCCAGCTGTTCCTCTCTCTGCCTCCGCATCCTCCTTTCAAAGAGCTCCTCATCCGTATACTCTGGCTCAATACGGTAAGGACGTCCATCATATTCAAAGTCATCATCCACAACCTCAAAATCGGACAAATATACAGCCATGTTTCAAAAAACTAACAGTAGCAAATTCCAGCCGTAAACATAGCCGTGCTGCGGACGTGCGGCAGCGCAATGACATCATCCAGGTCAGAGGTTAGTAGGTCAGTATAAATGACCCAGATAATGATGATGACAAGCAACTCTAGCGATTCATAAAAACATATTGGTGAAATGAACGAGTTTCACGGCAGATAATGTGTTATTTAGAGCCTCATTGTTGGTGCCCCAATCATTCCCACTATATGGATGTACGTGGCTCTCGCGGATCTAAATATCTTCCGAAGGACTCCAAATGACACCAAACTTATCTGGGTGAGTAAACAACCGTATTTAATGCCAGAAATAAGGTCCAGGTTGTAAAAAACGTAACTTCCCCTTTAATGTTACTCTTAATGTTTCCTTTTACTTTAATGTCTCTGTGAATACAAATGAATTTTCATAAATAACACAAGATGTGCTGGAAAAGTGACAGATTGTGAGTCGTCATGGGTCCGTCATGGCTGCCTGTGTGTGTTGACATTGTCTAAACATCCATGAATGTCTGTCTGTCTGTCTGTCTGTCCCTCCATCCGCCATGTCCTCATCTCCTCCTTGCATGCTGTGGATCGCATGGTCACCATCCACCACCATCCCTGTGTTGTGATTGGTTCATCCTCATGACGTTTGGCGCTCTGTCATTGGGTGTTTGGCCGATCTCAGGACCACAGCGGGGCCCTGCAGGCCGAGGAGTTCAAGGCCTGTTTGATCAGTCTGGGCTACGATGTGGAGAACGACAAGCAGGTAGGAGCTCCAGGACGGGACGGAAGGAAAGAGTTAGTGTTTGTCAGGCCTGTGAGCAGGAGAGCCGAGCGGAGATCACTGCCAGTCACAGTCATATCCGAGTTAGTGCTAAAGCTATTGATTATTTTCAGGTTTTTTAATTAATCTCTTAAATTAATTATGCACTGCAACAATGTCTGTTTCTTCACTGTGGGGTGCTAAATGTCAGACATTTTTTAACACAGTTGCTTTCAATGATGAATCAGTTACTGACATTGATTTATTTTCTATCAGTTTATTATTTTACAAATTATTTAGCACTTATCTGGATGACAAAGGTTCTATGACCCCTGTCTTAACAAACATTTGTCGTGATTTTAGTGTTAATATCTAGATCTGGTTTTTGCCGTTAAAAAAAAACATGTTCATGAAGGTGTTTTGAGGAGGTGTAATCAGTATTTGTTGAATTAATTCACTTATCTGCACAATAATTACATTGCATAAAAATATCCCTTTTAAAACTGCAGTTTGTATAGGACTTAATTATAGTAGTACACATACGCTGAATTTAAAAGACTGTAATCTCTGTTATTGAGATTTCTGAACACAGCAAATACAAAACATCTGGAATATAGATAAAATTGTGTTACAAATTTTCATATTAAATAAAATTATTAAAAAGAAATCTCCATTTTACCAAAATAAAAACACAAGAACACTAGTTATATCTCAATATGTTTACATGCACAACTGCCATTACTCTCTTAAGTAATCACCATTTTCTGCTGTATTTAAATTAGGGATTGTTCCTATATTAATATGATGAATGTCACTCTGAGGCCATTTGTTGTAAGAACTGGTCAGTGATCAGCTGGCACTCCTGCTCTGAGGCTCTTGATAAGCTCTGGGTTCAGACAGGTGTCAGTCCGTCAGCATGGAGGGCAGAGAGCGGCTGCGTCCCTGTTTGTCCACCGGGGGTCTCTGTTGCTTTGTGCTGCTTCAGCTCGACCAGTCTCTCTCTCTCACACTCTCTGAGCAGACCCCACCGCTCGTTTGTCTGTCTGTCTATCCGTCTGTCTATCAGGTTTTACTTTCGTTGGTAACTGTTTGAGCTTTTTATCTTTTTGCGTTCCCTCCAAACATTACTCACTGTCTACATTTTGATATCTCTGTTTCTGTTCTTCACTCCTTCCCTCTGCTTTCCTTTTCATCCTCTCATTCCTCCTCCTTCTCCCTGCCACTTGTCTCTCCCTGGTTCCCCCCCTGTCAACTCGCCCTCCGTCCTCCTCCTCCCCCGGCCTTTGCTGTGCTGTGGCGGCCCACAGAAGCGGTCAGGACAGATGGTCTCAGATGATTTCCGGGCTCTACTCATTTCAACAGGAAACAGCCTGGTACTGCTGCTGGCATGACTCTCTCAGGGTGTCTGCAGGTCCAACAATATCCTGATTCCATTTAGTTTGTTAAATTCAACGCCCCAGATGACCTTGCATGAAGCAGAGCTTTAACACTATGTACTGAATGCAGTTAAAGATGTTTTTGTCCCTTCATGCTTATTGTCCAGTGAGAAACTGACCAATTCATGTTTAGGGCTGGGATAACATATGATGCATTTGAGAAGTTTTTTGGTTGAAGAGCAGCATAGTTTTTTATGTTCTTTAAAGTTACATATCAAAAATGTTGATACCATACCCAGTCCTATTCTTGTTTTTTAGATGTACTAGTAGTTTAAAGTTTAAATATCATTTGGTGTAAGTAAGTGTAATGTCTTAAATCTGAGTTGACACCTGCAGACACTCTGCTCTCTCTCTCTCCTTGATCCTCTTGCTGCTTGTCTCATTTTGTCACATCTGTGTCGCTTTTGTACTTGTGCACTTCTGCCCTAGTTTGTGATAGACTGCTGACCGAATCAAAATGTCTTTTTTCATATGGACCATTGAAATTATTCTTAATTGTCCTCTGTGCCCTCATCTGTGTGTGTTTCCCATTGATATTAACCAGTGATCGTGTTATGTATGTATATGCATGTGTCAGAGTGTGAAATATAAAATATTGGGACCACGATCACAACTTAAACATCTGCTAACCGGCTCAGTCTAATTCATGGTGGTCCTGATGTTTTACACACTTAAACTGCTGTACGTCACATTCAGTCTGTGTGTCAGTGTCTGAGAACAAAGTGCTGTCTCCCCCGGGTTAACCTGTTGCTTCTCGGTTGCCAGGGCGACAGTGAGTTCGCTCGCATCATGGGCATAGTGGACCCCAACGGCAGCGGTGCTGTCACCTTCCAGGCCTTCATTGACTTCATGTCCAGGGAAACGACCGACACAGACACCGCAGACCAGGTCATCGCCTCCTTCAAGATCCTGGCCGCTGATAAGGTGTGTGTGTGTGTGTGTGTGTGTGTGTGTGTGTGTGTGTGTGTGTGTGTACAAACAGTGATGTGTGTGTTTTATAATTATGTATTATTTTGTATTATGTCTTAGTTTTCTCATTCTTTACTGTAAAGGTGAAATAATTCTGTTTGTTTTGTAATTCGATTCATATTTATAGGGGCAGTTCATCCCAAAATTAAAAATGCATATATTTACTCTTACCTGCAGTGCTATTTATTAATCTAGATTATTTTGGTGTGAGTTGCCAACTTGAGTGACCAACATGATCTATAGTGTAAGAGTTATGTTGCATTACACATTTGATACAGCAGTTAATATGTTAAATGCATATCAGCTGTTCTTGGCAGGTGTACCTTTGTGCACCAGCTTTTTGCAGGTGAGCCACAGTGTACATTTCGCTCACTGTACCTCCCTCTCTGTGTCCATCAGAATTTCATCACGGCCGAAGAGCTGAGGAGGGAGCTCCCCCCTGACCAGGCGGAGTACTGCATCGCCCGCATGGCACCCTACAAGGGACCAGACGCCGCCCCCGGAGCTCTCGACTACATGTCCTTCTCCACCGCTCTGTACGGAGAGAGCGACCTGTAGAGGAGGCAAGAGGAAGAGAAGGGCTGGACAAACAAGGGAGGGAAGGAGGGAGGGAGAGAAGGAAGAGAGGAGGGAGGTAGAGAGTTACTCTGTGCGTAGGGAAGACGCCAGGAATCGAGCGTTTGGAAGAATTTGAGTGGTGGTTGTGAGGTGCCCCTGTGTGTGCCGGTTTCAAAATCATCAGAAAGTTTTAAGACTCTGAGCTTGTTGATTGAACCGTAGTTAGGTTTGGCCTCTGTCGAATGTTTTTCAGCTGCGTTCATGTCATAACTGGATCAATTTGTCATAAAGGTTTATATGAGCAGGCATATCCAGGGGCAGCTGGGATGACAGTTGCTCTGTAGTGCGGGTCCTTAGCTTCACCCTCTCTGCCTGTCAAACTGGGGAGGGACTGGGGGAGGGAGGGCACAAGCTAATCTGATACTTATGCTAATTTTTGTTTATTTTATTATTATTTCTTTCTTCTTGCCAGGGTGTTCAGGGCATATGGTGGGGGACGGGAGGGGGGCGGGGGGGGTTTGATGTGGCGACTGGCGAGGTTTGTGTATTAGATCCTAGAGAGATATATGCTGCGGGGGGGGGGGGTTTTCCAACCAGTGATAAAATTACATATTTACCCATAATTCCCATGTTGCTGGATAAGGTTACCTGTCTAACCTCAGCTCTTTCCCTCCTCCTGTCTTTGTTTATTTCTTTTTGTTCATTTTCTGGAGCAGGTGGGTGGTGGTAGGGGGCGTCGGGTGGGGATGGTGGCCGGTGCTGGGGGGGAAGGGCGGGGCTCAGCGCTGTACATACTTATTTTTTTCAGAGCAAAGAATGACACACAGTCCCACTTGTTGAGAATAATCGATCGCAGGCTTTCCAGTAGGGCAAAATAGAGTGACATTTATTTAAAAAGAATAAATAAATAAAAAGATAAAACACGGAAAAATAAAAGCCAATGATAGCAACACAGAGAGAGCAGTTTCACCAGTGGATAGGTTTGAGCTTCCAGAAGTCTTTTCTTCAGGGTTTTTTTCTTTTCTCAAAGGAAAATATGGTTGGTAGCCATGAAGTTGAGGCTTGTGTACCTAAAGACCTTCTCCTGTATAAATCCCACGACAGGCAACACCATAATTATCCACAAATATTTGCTTCTGTGAAACTATTCTCCTCCTGGGGTGGGCTACAGGTGCTTATTTAAATACAAATACTATACATTTATATGAAAGGCAGGATTGTAGTAGTCAAAGTTAGTCCAGTTTTATATTCACACAGAAATATATACATGTCATGTCATAGATGCATCTGATTGGCTGAATGAAGGTCTCTCGCACTTTCTGGATTTTTAGAGCTCCCCCTGTGACTTTTGGAAAAGTGGTGGAAATAATAAAATAACATGCTTATTGGTGGCTACAGCCCTGTCCCTCTCTCTCTGTCTTTCTCTCTCTCTAACTCACTCTCCCGCGTCCTCCCCCTTCACTCGCCCATCCCCTCATTCGTCTCTGAAGAAAAGGGAAAGAAAATTTACTGCAAGGAAAGAGGGAGGGGAAAGATCGGGGAGGGGGTCTGTATGTAAACATTCCATTATGTGCAAATAAAAACTATTAAAAAAAAAGGAAATTGTTATGTAATAAAAACTATGCAATCATAATGTGTTGAATATCTGGGGAAAGTCGTGGGCATCCATCAGGCCCTTTCTGAGAACGTCCCCTGTCGAAATTAAACAGAGGATTACAGATTTCTCCAGTATTTGTTGGCTGTTACGGGGGAGAGGAGGGGGAGATGGAGGGAGGGACAGACAGGGAAGAAACTGAGAAGAAAAGACTTGGACCAAAAGCGTGTTTCTTTTTTTTCCTTTCTCTTTTTTTCCCTGCGAGGTTGGAGAGAAATGAACTCTGGAATTGTGATTTTCCTCTTTTTGTACTCTTTAATATCAAACCTTATCTGCTGTACTGGAAACTGCAACGCCTTCTGTCTCTAATGATAAGTGAGTTTCACAAAGCACACATAAAAGTTTCCTTACAAAATACTGATGCTCGTCCTCATGTCTTTTTTCTTGTCTGTCACTTTATTCTACGTCTCATTTAAAATGCCTATATAAATTCTAAAAAAAAAAAAAAAAAATCTAAACATTAAATTTTGTGCTTCATAATGCACAATAATAGTGAAAAACCAATGTTTTTTTCCAACTCCAGAATTTCAATTTAAGCTTTTAACTCAAACATCAAAGGATACGTCTGCCATGCTTACTGCTATTATTCTGGCTGGTGGTGCTGCCACTGTCTGGTACATTTTATGTGGGGAAATTGTCGTTGTTGCTAATGGCTGTGTGTGCGCTGTGGTTTGTGTGCATGAGTGTGTGATGTGTAGGTTTGTTAAATGTTGTTGGATTTGTGTGTGGTTGTCATGCACCCATATTGTGTGAAGTGTACCCCAGCCACCCCCAGCTTCTGATACATTAAGAACAGTCCCTAAAGGCTGCTGAACAAAATACAATAATCCTGTGAGAAGTTTGGATTCACTTTGCATATCCTTTCCAAATGTAAAAACAGGAGACCTAATATAAAATATCTTAAATGGGCTTATAGTAATGCAGTCTTGAAGGTCTGATGTTATTTTATCATATTTTTCTAATGCCCAACACTTTGTACGCAATCATACAGTAACAAATGCCTGTTTCATATATTTCCTTACATGTCCTCAGTCATTAAAGTAACATAATTCATTTTACATTTAGGCCTCAGCCTTCAGCCTTTCAACGTTTGGTTCAGTTTGGACTTTCCAGAAGTGTTTTTACTTTTACTGTACCCAAAAGGTGCACGCGCTGTCAGGAAACCTGAGCCTGTGTTTCAGAGCGTGCAGACAGCACAAAGTTCGTCTGAGCAAATATAAATAAAACTGAGAAACAATGAGTGGAGTGGACCACTGTGAGCAGTAAACCTGCTGGTGTCACGGCAGGGATTGTATGTACTGGCTTTAGGCACGAGGAACGGAAATGGGCAGTACCTTCTGGAGAGGAGAAGGTCTGATCTGCGCACGCATCACCGACCTGCTTTTACGCGCGCTGGTGTGCAACATTGGAGCAGCTCGAGACCACTAACAACAACATGAGCAGCTCGGTGATAACCGAAGAAGTGACGCCGAAGTCGTGACGTGACCTGGTTTTTGTTTAAACCCTTTCTTCTCTTCTTCATCCTCATCATCATCACCCACTACGTACTGGCTGTGGCCGCTCCGCGCGCACTGCGGCGCTTTGAAACTTGGGAACAACAACAGGGAGCTCAGGGCGCGCGGCCGCTCCTCCTTTGGACCTCTGTGGCAGGAATGATGCTCGCGCTCACCTGCCGCGCGCTGCTCGTCTTCCTGCTCTCGGAGTCGGTTCAGACCGACCGAACAGCGGTAAGACCTGACATCTGTTTACTAACCCTGTCCAACTTCAGTTGAGTTCATGTCTGCAAACTGGTCTGAGATCTGCTCTGCTTCAGGACTATACTCAATAAATCTATGCTGGTGTAGTATCCACACTAAAACCCAATACACAGACTTGGTTCATCTACATTCTGAGGTTTCATCAGTTTGTCAAGCTGACAAATGTAAATCCATTTTCCAAGCATGTATTTATCAAAGATATATTAAACACAATATATCATAGAAGTGGCTCCTCCTGTAAAGGTTACAGGCCTGTAATTTTCTAATAAGCTAATTTTGTTAAAATAGTTTTAAAACAATTGATGGGTAGATCCAATTTTTTGATATATTGTTTTTTTAACTATTAGCTTATAGCTCTGACATTATTCATTTCTTCAATTGTTAATTAGATTTATTTGCCACTGATGTAGGCCACTGTAAGACTGTTCTTTACCTATCAGAGCACTCCCAGAGTGACTGGGGAACGTGCATGACCCTGCCTCCACCATAAATAGGCCTAAACATATATATTTTTATACTCACACCAAATATGGAGCCAATGCAATGAGCAAGCAGCACAGTAGTAAGAGTTATCGCCAAAACAAATAGCTAATTTTTTTAAGCAAAATGCAAATCCTTACAAATCGTATCATCACACAAGCTGTGTGCACACTTAAGCAGAAAGGGCGCATGATGGCCACACACAAAACAAACTAAATTTGATAAACAATGTGTGCATATGACGACCGTTTTCCCAAGTTAACTGTATACACACCAGTGGCAGCAGCAAAATATGAGTGATTTGGCACAGCGGACATTTTTTGATCAAAGTTATATTCTAAAGTTGAAAAAAGCATTTGTCATGCATACAGGAGCACAGAGTTTAATGTTTGTCAATGGAGCTGGTGAAACGGCTTCTTTTTGGTGACATATTAAAAGAGGACAGTGATTTTCACGAAATTCCACAAATATAAACTCAGATTTTCAATGACTGTTGGAAATTTGAAGGTCTGATGAGAATTTATTTTTCACAGTTTCTGGCTTTGATAAATAGTATATTTTTGGTGACTTTTAAAGAGCACATGCCTTCTCAAACCCTCTTGCAGTTTAATGGCTTCAGATGGTGTTTAGAATAAATACAAAATACAACAGTTTTAAGTTGAAAGTCCCTCCCCTAAGCCAAATAAAAAACATAAGTCCCTCCGCAGTGCTTAAAAATAATCTGAAGTGCCTCCCCCATTTCGCACCACTCTTGCTGTCTCATAGGTAACTACAGTCCCTTAGCTTTTTGTTCTGACATTATTTATATAGCTTTTATTTAGACTTATTTGCCACTGACAGGCTGCTGTAAGATTCAGCTTGCTTAGACGTATTCAGCTTTAACAGAGAATATCTGTGTTATATTTTTAGATTTTCAGTGAACACTTTGTAAAATGTGTTGTTTCTTCTAAAAAGTTAGGGACTGTTAAAGGTGTGAGTCTTTTATCTAAAGCTTGAAACAAAAGTTACAGGTCAACAGTTGTACTATATAAAGTTAAAAAACAAGCCGAGTTTCTGAAAAAGACCAAGTTTTCAACAGGAATGCAGTTCAAACCAAAGTCGGCCTCTTTACACCAAGCTCCATCCCTGAAGAAGGAAAATGGCACCAGCCCACACCTCTCAGTTTTACACTCCTTTCAGTTTTACACTCCTCTCAGTTTTACACTCCTTTCAGTTTTACACACCTCTCAGTTTTACACTCCTTTCAGTTTTACACAGTCTGGATAACAAAAACAATCTTGTAACCTGAAAAAAGTGAGTGTATTGTTGATTTTTTAATCTAGGTTATTGCTTTTCTACTCAGGGACCACTGGCTGCTACACCACAGTGAATCCAAATTGCCAGGTTTTATAAACTCTGACTTGGAGTTAGTTTTATTAAACCGAACAGATCTGACAACACTTTACAACACAAACAGAGCTGCTCGATATTATTTTGGCTATTCTCATGGTTTCAAAGAGGATATTGATTTTCAGCCTGAAGAGATTAATCCTCATGCTCGATTTACAAAGAGCGTGTGTGTGTGTGTGTGTGTGTGTGTGTGTGTGTGTGTGTGTGTGTGTGTGTGTGTGTGTGTGTGTGTGTGTGTGTGTGTGTGTGTGTGTGTGTGTGTGTTTTCACGCTCCCTGGAGGATGCCAGGGTATCATCTGCCAGCAAGACCAAACCATAAACACACACACATTACTGCCAAGCAAATATTTAACCTGCTACTCAGGGGAAACACACAGGTGGGTGTGTGTGTGTGTGAGAGAGAGAGAAAGTGAGAACACTTATGAAAAAGAGCCCCAGTAATCCTATAATAAATTTTAACAGCATCCTAAACAAATATCACAGCTACACAGTGAGTACATGTAGAAATATGCTGAAATATATACGGTCACTAAAGTTAGAAACTATCAGAGAAGCATCATGAACTCTAAATAGAATATGGCAGTGGTAACACAGGCTAATAAAAAATGTAGATCCATTACAAAAACTATCCATTCATCCATTTCCATCCGCTTATCTGGTGCCGGGTCACGGGGGCAACAGACTGAGCAAGGTACTCTAGACGTCCCTCTCTCCAGCAATGCTTTCCAGCTCCTCCTCTGGGATCCTGAGGCGTTTCCAGGCCAGATGAGATATATAATCCCTCCAGCTTGTTCTGGGTCTGCCTCTTACCAGGTGGACTTGTCTGGCAAAACCTCTAACAAGAGGCGTCCAGGAGCCATCCTGATCACATGCCCGAACTACCTCACCTGACCCCTTTTGACGCGAAGGAGCAGCGGCTCTATTCCGAGCTCCCTCCGGATACCTGAGCTCCTCACCCTATCTGTGAGGCTGAGTCCAGCCACCCTACGCATGAAACTCATTTCGGCCGCTTATATTGGCGGTCTCATTCTTTCGGTCACTACCCAAAGCTCATGACCATAGGTGAGGGTTGGGATGTCGATGGACTGGTAAACAAGAACTTTGCCGTCTTGCTCTCTCTTCGTCACAACAGTCTTGCGTAACACACCCATCACTGCTGATGCTCGTGAACAAGACCCAAGACCCCAAGACCATTTTGTCCTCTCGTAAAGGCAATGTACAGTGCTCTGCCACTTTCCCCAAAACCCCGGAAGGGGGGCCTCTTCCACATACTGCATGAAAGCTGGATACCATTAGTTAGGACAGGGCCTTGATGGTCTTTTTTGCATGGTGTTCCCAAAAGTTAAGGATTGCTACTGTACACAGTTCAGATTACATGTAGTAACCTGACAGTGTGAGACCCAGGTGAGACAGCTGCCAAGCAGAAAGCAGCAGACCACTGTTTGAGATCAACAAACAACAAAAGTGGGTATTTTTTTTAACGAGCTGTCAGGACATTCCAGCTATGTTTGTGGGACAAAACCACCAAACATGATGTTTTTCTAACCATAAACAAGTGGTTTTTGTGCCTAAACCTAACCATACTTTAACCACAGTGTTGTCACAACATGAAGTTGAAAATTGAGATGTAAAGTTTCAAGATATCTGTTGCGTATGAAACATACAAATGTGCCAACATTTATTCTGGCAAATTGGCTGCTAATAAAGGCATAAAATACTTAAAAATAAAT